CTTATTTCACATGTGCTATTATATTTGTTTATACATTAGAAGTTCTGATCTACCACTGCACCTGTAAAGACAATGTTCATGGGATTTCCTTATTGACCATTCTAAGCTTAAATAAAGCAGAATGTTTTATTTGAACTTGCACAAAACATTGTGTGCTTTGCCAACTTTTTCTGAACTTTCCCTTTTCCTTCAGTAATATAAACCATCCCATTGCAAGGAAGATTATTTCAGGAAAAGTGTATTTAACATCAGTTGTATAATAGATACCGGGGTTATTGGAAGATCTAATTACATAGTCATTGAAACTTTTATGACCAGTCTTTATATCAGTCTTAACTGTTGTACTTTTTACAAGCAGTTTCAGTGATACTGGTACAGCAGTTCCCCTTATCTAAGGGGGAAAATATGTTCTAAGACCCCTAATGGATGCCTGAAATCCCATATCTCCCCTGGATAATACTGAACTCTATATTTAGTATGCACCAGTTTCTTTGTCCTTCTTTACAATTTCATGGATGGATTAGTTCTTACCATAGATCTTAGCAGCCGCAGAATATGATTTTTTTCTTTCCTTATTAAATTGATAACTTTTATCTTCTAACTTAAAGGAACACTTTACAGCTTTTCTTTGTCATATCTGAATTGCCAGAATCACTGCTCTTGTGCTTTGGGGCCATCATTAAGTAAAATAAAAGTTACTTGAGTACAGTCACTGCGGTACCACAACAGTCGATCTGATAACCAAGATGGCTGCTAGTAGATTAAGTGTATTCACCACCGCTCTGCTGGACAAAGGGATGATTCATGTCCTGGGCAGGATGGAGCAGGATGGCACCAGACTTCATCATGCTACTCACAGTAGTTCACAACTTATAACTTATGAATTATTTCTGGATTTTCCATTTAGTATTTTCATACTGAGGTTGACCATAGTTAACTGAAACCACAGAAAGTGAAACCTTGGATAAAGGGAGAGGGACTACTGCATTTCTTCATTTTTTTTCTACATTTGGAATGGAACTGTCAGCTTTAACAGTTACAGTAGTTATTAAAGTTCTTCGTAATTATATAGTTAAGTTGTTTTGCTTGGAAATTTTTGTGGCCACAGAAATATAGAGGTTTCTAGTTAACAAATCTAAGGTGGAGTTTATATGCGTGTAGAATTTTGTTCTAATATGCAGGAATGTCACTTTCTACCTTAAAATTATATTTCAATTAACGTAACATCCTCTAATGATCTTGTATGTGGAATCTAAAAAATGTCAGACTCATGGAACTAGAGAGTAGAATGGTGGCTGGGGTGTGGGTAGAAGGAGAAAGGAGAAGTGTTGGTCAGTGGGTACAGAGTTGCAGTTAGATAGTAGTAAATTCTGTTCTATTGCACAGCAAGGTGACTATAAATTAACAATAATGTATATTTCAAAATAGGTAAAAGAGGAAGTTTTAAATGTTCTCACCACAAAGGAATGATAAATATTTGAAGTGATGGATATGCTAATTACTCTGATTTGATTCGATCTTTCCACACTGTATACATGTATCAAAATATCTCTTTATATCCCATAAACATACACAATTATTATTTGTCAATTAAAAATAAAATAAAACTCAGCCAAGTGCAGTGGCTCATGCCTGTAATCCTAGCACTCTGGGAGGCCGAAGCGGGTGGATTGCTCGAGGTCAGGAGTTCGAAACCAGCCTGAGCAAGAGTGAGACCCCGTCTTTACTATAAATAGAAAGAAATTAATTGGCCAACTAATATATATAGAAAAAATTAGCTGGGCATGGTGGCGCATGCCTGTAGTCCCAGCTACTGGGGAGGCTGAGGCAGGAAGATTGCTTGAGCCCAGGAGTTTGAGGTTGCTGTGAGCTAGGCTGACGCCACGGCACTCACTCTAGCCTCGGCAACAAAAAAATAAATAAAATAAATAAAAATAAAATAAAACTATTATAATTATAAAAAAACTATTATAATTATAAAGGACTATTTTGATGGACTATATGGGTTGATTTTGGTTTTTCTCACTAACATTTCTAATTTCAGACATGCCCAGTTTTATCTTTTTCTCAGGGATATAGAGATCACTTTAAATTGCATCTATAATTGTCGATTTTGATTATACATCAGAAGCAGACTACTGCCCCTCCTAAATCTCCAGTAATACTCATGTAATATTGGTTATCCAAGTTGGGGAACATTCCATTGTTAAGGTTTATAATTCGATTAGTAGATTCTTAAGCTACATAGTGCATAGTCTCTAATAAAAGAGCATGTTCAAATCTACCAATAAAGAGTAAACGTAAGTGTTATCTGCCTGCTTTAGAATTTTAACTATTGAAATATTAGTTATATAGAAATAAGTATAGCTTAAGTTCTCATTGTGTATATATCTCAAACATGACATGGTGTGATTTGATCAACTATGTCAGAGTTCTAATTTTATCAGCTGCACCAAGTCAGCTCTGTAGAAATACTGTATAAAACTTACTAAAGGTATGTTTAAGTGACTAGTTGTTTAAAAAAAACCCTGTAAAATGTAGAAATCTGATATTATTACATGACTTTCTATTAGTGTACTTAACTCGAAACTTGTCTGATACTGTCTTTAAGTCATTTATAGTTAGGTCAATGTGTAAAATTTGTATAATAGCACTATAGTTTAGTGTTGCTGAAAATGCCCTTTGTTTCACATATCTGTATTTGTTAAAATTCTGCTGTATGTTTGTGTTAGTCTTAAGTTTTACCATGTTACAGAAAATACCTATTTCAAGCATCAGAAGTATTCATTGCCAGGTTATTCATACCATAACAATTGATAACAAAATCAGTCCAGTAAAGGCTTTTCTCATTTAGTAATTCTGCTGATATGGGCAATCAAGCTGCTGTGGCATGTTCAGAAATATTTCAAGTATAACCAAAATAAGAGACATAGGATGTTTTGGAACTTTGTTTTGGAGATTCTGGCATTATTAGCATTTTTTCTTATGCATAGACAGACATCATTTAAGATATATGCCCTAGGTTCTTTATTTTTTTATATGCCTTAGTTTTAGTTCATATTGCATAATATTAGGGAATTTTGTAAAAGAAAATCTCTGTAAAATGTTAATTGAAATACTATTTGGGAAACTCTAGGAGAAAAAGTTCCATATGAAATCATAGTCATCTACGTTTAATAAAATGTGCTTTGAGTGAATATACATAAGCCTAATGTTTCTTTTTGCTTTAAATAAGTATTGATTTAACACATTAGCTGTTAAGCTTTCAAGAATAATTTAAAAAGTAGATTTTATAAAATATTTTCTTAGCTCTTATTCACTAGACACACTATATTTTAATAATGGGGTATCTGTTTTATGTGTTTGGTACACAAAGTACAAAGATTCATCTGCCTCTCATCATTTAGGGGATACCTCCTTAATGACAGGTAGATTAAAAAATCTATTTAAAGTTTACTAGCTAGGATTTGCTGTCCCTGCTGTAAGAATAGTGGATGCCCAGGGAGAGTTAAAATAAACTGTTAAAGCATGGCTTCCCTAGAGGTAATCCTATTTGCAGGGTCAAGCCACACATGTGGACCCTCTAGTGTTCTGTCACCTGGTTACTTGCAGCAACTGGTTATTTCCCAAGTGCTGCTTTTTCTGTAACTGCAGATTACTAAGGAAGTTATTTCCCTAAGTTGTCAATATATATTGTATACCAAGTGACCAGGGTGTTTGGGGAAAAGGAATCAAAGGGGGGGGGGCTCTTTGTCTGCCAAAAGTTTATATTTTACTTAGAACATAAAACATATACATGAAAAATTTAGATGAAGTTATAGTAAATTAAGTGATTTAGGCTGTTGTAATGGGAATTTATTGACTTGGAATAATTAGATTTATTAGAATTCCATATCCCAGTTAGGTTTTTTTTGTTGTTGTATTAACTATCAAATTAAATTGAAAGCCTGTTGTGAAAGGGTTATGCTAATTGCTTTACTTACTTACAACATTTAATCTCCATAGTAACCCAATAAAATAAGCATTGTTGTTCTGTTTTAGAGATGAGGAGATAGAGACTGATAGAAGTTAAACCTATAGACTTACAGCCACTGACTAGACTTGTCTGGTTAGGACTTTTGTCTGATTCTTCCTCTTAATCATATACAGTTTACTGTACTTTTTCTCCTCACTGGTAGTCTTTTATTGCATGATGCAGTCAGTATTTACTGTTTTACTCTGGAATTAGTCATCTTACAAAGATTTTATTCTTTCATTTTAACCAGATCAGAAATTCTTTAATTGTAAGGTCTCTCTTGGAGACTTAATGATTAACTAGGAAAAAAGTTTATTATCAGTTTTTAAAGACTCATCATTTGATTTCGAACTGTTTTATTAAGATGAAAATACAAAAATGTTTGTAGAGCCCAGACTTACAAAAGACTAAAAAGAGAAATGACTGCCTAGTTAGTTTTAGTTGCAAAGTAATACTTTTTCCACCTCAATGGTTAATGCTAGCTTTCAGCAATCTTTTTTGGTAGCTTAGAATAGGACAATGAAACATCCTTTCTCTCTTTCACTTTTAGCTGTACATATAGTCTTTAAAGATAAGCATTAGACACTAAATGTATGTGAATTGTAGCTTTTTTTAAAAAATTGAGTGTGTTAAAAAAAGACAAAGGGACTATATAAAGAATTTAATGGTTGTATTTTTTAATGCCCATTGACTTCCAAAAGGATTTAAGCTGACTGGTTAATGAATGATGCCCTCCTTGATCATTTTCCAAGCTTTTAAAATACTTCCATAGTAAAAAAAATTGTAAGCAAATGATTGGTTTGGACTGAAAAATCTGATGCAGAGTCTTGGTTTTTTTTTGACCAGCAATGTGAATTTTTGAAAATAACAATTGCTTTAAGTTGGGTCTTTCAAAATTAGATATTCTTTATCAACTGTTTTATATAATCAGAAATTGTGTGTACATATACACCCAAACTGACTTGTAATTATTTTTACTTTATAGGAGTCATCCAGAACAGTTTCAGGCAGATTCAAGAGGTAAGAATCCTTACATTATGACTTGCAGCATATTGTAGACATGGGTATAACATCTGTCTGACTGTGACTTAACTAGAACTGTTTAAAGCAGCTCTTTAAAAAATAAGAAACATTAATATTGTGCTTTTAAAAAGAAATCATGTTATATGCAGAAGTGTAATGTCTGTCTGACCAAGGCTTATTCTGACATACCCTGCAATCTTTGAAAACTGTCTACACCATGAATTTGCATAGGTCTGATAACTTTTGCAAAATAAAAACTTAGAATTGCTTTTTCTTGGGTATTTAAACATTAAAAATACAAGTAGACTACCTGTATTAGTCAGCTCTGGTTGCTATAACAAAATAACATACATTGACTGGGTGACTTAAACAATAGGAATATATTTTCTCTCAGGTCTGGAGGCTGCCAGTCCTCACAGTGCCACCATGGTCACATTCTGGTGAGGACTGTCTTCCTGGCTTGCAGATGGCTGCTTTCTTGCTATGTTGTCACACGGCAGAGAGGTGTTGGGGAGAGAAAGAGACAGAGGAAGGGCAAGCTCTCTGATGTTCCTTTTTATAAAGGGCACAAATCCTATCATGAGGGCCATACCCCCTTGACCTCATCTAAACCTAATTAGCTCCCAAAGGCCCCATCTCCAAATACCATCACATTGAGGGGTAGGGCTTCAACACGTGAATTTTGGAGGAGGCACAATTCAGTCCATTGTGCTACCTCTGCACAGTGAGTATCACTTCTACCAGAGAATGTGTCTGTGTGTGTACATGTATAGGAAGAAAATCAGAATTAGGCATTAGAAATTTTTCAGTGGAGCTGTCTGGGATATTAGATTCCTTTTCTGTTGAGACCATAAAGTTTGCAGAAGCATATGGTCATACTTGTCCTAATAATCATAGAATGAAAAATCTTACTGAGTGCTTATCATGTCTAAGATGCTTTACATAGAGATTTCATTCAGTTAGGTAACAGTATTTACTTCCATTTTATAGATGAGGGAAGTGGGGTTAAAGAAGTAGAATAATTTTCCTGGAATTACAAACCCTAGTCCATAGCAGAATCAGGATTTGAACTAAGACAGCCTGACTCCAGAAGGTACATGCTTACTAACTATACAAGCCCATCTGCCTGGATTTATAGATATAAAACTTTTGTTTTTTATCTATTTATATGTTAAAGTTTAGAATACTTTGTTATATTCCATTTAAAATTTTTATTAATTGATTAATTATTAATTGACAGGAAGACTAATTTTAATACTAAGTCATATATAAATAAGATTTTTATTTTTATTATGGGCCATAGTATCTGTTAAAAGTAGAGAAAGATAAGGAAGCCAGGATAATTACTCAGAGTAAATAGGTCTGAAACCATTTCTGGCACACAGAAAAATATTTAATATGTTTGCTACTGCTACTGCTTTTAGTTTCATTTTTTAGTAGTTTTGATATAGGTATAATAAAACCTGTTCTTGTAAGCTTATCAGACATTTGTATGTTGCTTGATAATTTTTACTTACCTTACCATAAATAGTTTAAACTGAAAAGAATCCTTTTTCTTTTTGCCAGAAATCATTGTGAAATAGCCTCGATTTGGCCTGTTCTCAGACTACCTTCTCACACCAAAAAAATTTTTATCATCAGTTTTTGGTTTGGGGAGTAAAGATAGACTGTGATAACTTATCAAGTTTGTTGTATCAATATTAGATATTCAGTTCTTGTTAAATAATAGAGCCTAAAATTATGAATGGGACTTTTCCGATTTGTGTTTTTTAATTAGAATCAATAGCAGAATAATTTTCTTATAAATCCTGATTAGAAGCTTTATTTATATGTCACTTTGTTAAAGCAGGAAGAAAATTTTTCCCATTGTGTAAATTTTTATATTTAAGTTTTTGAGACCATTGTTTTACTTATGAGATGTTTGCATCTATGTACTTTAATTTTTATTGCCTAGAGCAGCAGTCTCCTACCCCCAGGCCGTGGCTCAGGAGGCCTGTTAGGAACTGGGGCGCACATCACTGCCTGAACTTCCACCCCCATCCCCCATGGAAAAAATGTCTTCCGTGAAACTTAGTAACTGGGTGGCACAGTAGGAGTAGCGTGGCAGGCAAGCAAGCCAGCGAAGCTGCAAAGCTTCATCTATATTTACTGCCCCTCAGCCCATCGCTGGCATCACTGCCTGAGCTCTGCACCTCCCACCACCTGTGGAAAACTTCTTCTCTTCCATGAAACCAGTCGCTAGTGTAAACTGGTACCAGAACATTTGGGGACGGCTGGCCTAGAGCATGTGGTTTGTTACTTTTCAGCTTTCAAAAGTTTAGCCCTGTTTAATAGTGTTACAAATATTTTAAAGTTTCAAGTCATTTTTCATTGATTCACAGCCACTGTTTTAATGCCATCTAAAATAAAAAAAGAGAGAGAGAGAGAGAATGCTAGCAAACAAAAATAAAAAATCCCAAAGCCTAGAATCTATATCTGAAATTATCTACTTATCTAGTAGAAATGTATTACACTTCATATCAACAGTTTATTATTTTCATTAATCTGTCAGCAAGTCGTAGCAGTGACTACAGAATGGATGCTTTTTGCTGAGGGTGTCTGCTGAGTAATGGAGATTTAAAAAAGAGAAATGAGCTAAAAGATAGAAATTTGGCATCATTTTCTTAGAAAATAGTTCCATTAAGCCAAATAACTTATATATACAGCTGGAAATAACTTTTAAAAGGTCATTAGTGGGTTCACGCACCCAGAAGATTAGTTTGTACGTGTGCTCTTATAAATTATGAATTAAATTTATATTTTTTATAGTTTGTAATTTTTTTCTCACAAATATCAATAATGTACTTTTCCAGCACTGACTATTAAGTGCTTGGTCTAGTTATGCTATATTTTAAAAACTGAATTGACTCTTGTTTAGAATATATCTTATACATTCACTGTTTTCCTTTTTAAAAAGTACTTAAATAACTTAAGGGAAATATTTGGAGGTAATGATCATGAAATTTCTGAAACTTAAAGTTTAGTAAAGATCAATCAATGTCATATATTTGTGAGTTTTTTATTTTCTTCAATATGTACTTAACAGGGTGTTTACTTGGTTAAGTTTATAGTGCATTGGTTAAAATTTAAAAAAAAAGAGAAAGAAACAAGGCAAAACAGTGCTTTAAGACTTGCAAAAGGCCATATTAGCCAGGGTATATATAATTTACCATTCGTAAAGAATGGGGGAAACAAGTAAAGACAAATATTAAGTTTTATTATTCTCACATAGTAATTAACTGATTCTTATGTTTTCACAAATATGTTTAAATCAGTATTAATTATTTTATTAAGTAACATTTATGCAAAGTAATGAGTGCTTCCCAGCATTCCCCACCCACCTACCCAAGTAACCTTAATTGATATAATAGTTTGTAAAACACCTTCACATACCTTATCCATCAATAGTCTCATCAGACAGTAGCCAGGTAGCATCTTCTCTCTCAGATGAAAAAAAGGATTTAGTTCAGTGAACTCTTTTACCACATTCCCTCTGAACAGAAATTGATTGAGTTACAAGAGAGGAAATACTACTAGTTTTTTTTAATAAAGAGCATGGACACATCAAGATGTGAATGTTAGAAAAAATTAACCCTCACTTAGCCAATATGTAGATGCAGACCCTATTTCAAATCTGCAGTGTTTCACATTATTATTGTAGTTTTATAATTCATGTAACTTCATCAGGACTTTTCTTATATTTTCAATTACTGAAAATAATCAGGATAGAAATTTTATACAATTTAAAAATTGTTTCCTTTATTTTAAAATAATACCGATCATTGAAAATTTGAGAAATGTAGAAAATTAGGATTAGAAAAGCTCACCCATAATCCAACCACCCAAGTCAAACACTATTAGCATTATTTTTCTTTTTTATTACCAATTTATTTTTCTAGGCTTTTTATTTATATGACTGTGAGCATAATAAATGTACAGTTTCACATTCTGGTTTTCTTTTTACCAAATGTAACATGGGTATCTTCAACCTTTAGTTTCTCTAAACAATGGCTGATATCAACTGAGGGATTTCTGCTTTTTCAATAAAGGGTAGCACAAATACAGCAGAGATCCTCACTATCGCTGCTTTGGGCACCAATAATTTCTTTCTTCTTTATTTGGATAAAATGTGACCATGATTCTTTTTCTTAAGGGTCAGCTTTCTCTTCCACAATCAATTCTGCAGTAATACTTGTTTTGGAAATACAAATTTGTCCCAGTTGATACATTTGGGAACAGTTTGACCCTAATTTAAATTTTGCCTTTGCTTATGCTCAATTTTTTCACGAGAAACACTAAGTGGATGGAGAAAGCTGTACCCAGCTCCACCAAGCTACATAGAAATACACAAAATGCTCTCTGGCACATACTGCAAACATCTACCAGCTACCTCAGTATGAGCCACAGCCTTCCTTCCACAAGTGATATTACAGCTTCCAGTCTGATTTCAGGTAACCCTTCTTCCTACTCACACTTCAAAATAACTTACAAGCTACAACCCTTGTGATGCTAGTCAACTTCCAAAAGCGAACTTCACTTCTTTTTCAAGATAAGTTGCCATATTTATGTATTTCTTAACCATTTAACATGGGTAAAACTGTGCTGCTTTTATTAGGTTCCTATTCTTTTTCTTTAATGTATCACTGATGAAATTTTTAAGCATTGTGCCTCTAGCCCAATTTCCCCCATAATCCCTGTGTTTTTATTGAGTGATTTTGCATAACACATATGTTGTATTTTGGCAGAACTAACTCTGGGTAGGTGGTTTGCCATTGTGTAAATGGGAAGACTTGTACTTAACATAAATTGCATTTAATTTGAGACACTGTGCAGTGCTCTAAGGATACAGATGTTAGAATAGGAAGAGATTTGAGAGTAAATTAAACCTCATGACATTTTCTGATAACACTGCATAGGTTATTTCCCACTCTGTTCCTGTCTAAGCCAACAGACACATT